ATTTTATTTGACTCCTGAGCATGAATGACCCTGTTTAAAAGGCAGAAGTCTGAATAGCACATTCACGTTTCTGATTTATTAATGCATACCTAGTGCTTCTCAAGGCTACTTTGGGCACTATCATTGCAGCAGGAACTAGGCAGAAAATGTGATAGTTATGCACGTAGGGATTCGTTAGATGCAAATATAAGTCAGTCATATAGGGGCTCACACAAATGAACTATTATACTTCTAACGTGGATAGAATGCTGCTAGTCAAGATAGTCCATTATTAGTAAATGTATCTGGCTTTACAGCTTTAACTCTTGCTAGTCATTGTATGTATTGCTCTTAGCCTTTAGTCTTATTTCCTCAGCCTGCAAAATTGAAGTCTTGAATTCACTCAAGTGGACAGCTGGTTTACCAGCCTTCTGAGAACAGCTCTTCTGTCAAGAACTTGATGGCTAGAGATATTTCTAAGGATACATTGTGCAGGTCATGATACAACCTTCTAACCAGAAGAAGTTGACTAACTCTGCAAGAAGGCAGGGGGGAGGGAATAACCTGGAAGCATGTTTAGCACTTGAACTATTGCTGTGCTTCCGGTTACTACTTCATCCTAACAGGCTATATTGCACTTGGCAGTAAAAGCTTCTCGTGTCCTCTCCTGGCCTCTCAAATTCTAATTTGAGGTTAATATTTACATGCAATAACTCTTTAAGCTGAATCATGTACTTGCAGTATCAAGGGACAAAGAAGGAGCACAGGCTGTGAAAAGGACAAAGTATTAGACTGCTGAGCAGATGTTTAGTTTATCTGCCTTGCTTCTGACTTTCAGTGTCCCTAACATCTTCTCAGACAAGCCTTCATCAACATTGAGGCAATTATCTTTGTCTGCTGAGGGGGAAAAAGCCTGTCTGTTGGGTGAGGATTATTGTCCAGTCTTTAAATCCCATGGCAGACTACAGCCATAATGAAGAGTCTCAATCCCCTGTGCACAGGACAAAAATATAATCATTAAGTGTTGCTACCATGTTGCCACCCCTTGCTCAAATAAGGGATAATTATGAAAACATCTCTTAAGAGAAACGAAGTGTTGCTCAACAAAATTGTTTGGCATGTGCTTCAAGTCTTGCTAAAAAACAGGTACTTCAAGGATGACTTGTCACTACCAACAGCTCTCCTTGTAGGGAGTTCAGAGAAGACACCAAGAGCACAGTATGCCCAAAGTCTTAAGAATGAGTACAATGCTTGAATGGAGAGTTGCCTGACTTGAGACAGTAGGTAACAACAGCTCATACTTCAAGGCCTGTGTGTTGAGGACCTGAAATGGCCTTTCCCTAAGGAGTGATCAGTGCTTGCTCTTCACGGGATAATCTCTATAGGAAAGGAGGAAGATACTATTAGTGGTCTCTTAACATGCCCTTTCTGGAGTAAATTGAAAAGTGGGTGAGCAAAATGTGGTGCATATATACTGATACAGGCAAGAGTGTGGGGCACTTCTCCCACAGTAGCAACATCCATGAATCTGCAGTCTCGGGCTTTTGAAAAAGTGTATTTAGCATAGTAGTTAAAATGGGCCATACAATTGCATAGCAAGTAACTAAGCTGTGGTGATATCAGTGGACTTATCTACATGGAGAAGATTCAAAAGGCATCACTTAACAGTCTGACATAGTTGCTGTGGGAATGGTCTTGTTCTTCACCATGCCAGTATAACTGAAAGCATGACTGTCCTTGCATAAAAGCACATGCATCTCTAACTTTGCCATACTGCTGGCTGGCTCTTTTGAGATCAACTCAGAATTCAAGTGTAATAGAACAGTTCTAGTTTCTTGTTGCCTTACTCCTGTAGTCTGAGTAAGGAAATACTAAGGGACTGAGTACTGCGGAAGGAAGCCTCCAAGCAAGAGCAAGAACTATAAACAGATTTTAACTTCATTTCTGTTACTTGCATGTAGAGCACACCAGTACTTTCCATTAAGATAAGCTAAACTTAAGTGTGACTAAGACCTTGCACAGCTTTAACTTGGGTCTAAAGCATAGAATCAAAATTTAGTTGTGGCTGAGACTCTTGTACCCCAAGCAGACTAGATTACTGCTAGCTCAAGCTATATAATGTTGCTCCCCAGCCCAGTGAAATTTTAACGTAAAGCCTGAGGCAACTTTGTGCTAGTCTTGTGGCTTAACTAATGTCAAGAAGTAGTTATTTAAAATATAAACATGTATTAAGGCAGCCTTTGTCTATCTTTGCATTCTTAGTTTTGCTAATCCTCTTGCTCCAGAGATATGATTCTCAAAGATATTGAGTTCTCCAAATGTATGATAAATAACTGTCATGTACTGTGAACTGTCACCAGGTGATATGAGCTGTGCCAGACATCAGACAGGAGAGTATGTCCTATAAACTGGCCAGAAAGCCCTCACTAACCTTCTCAAATTGCATTGCTAACACTGAGAATAGATTCTCCACAGTAAGACAGGGGGTATTTGCAAAGGTTCAGCCAGACTTGTGTGTATCCCTGCCCATCTTCATCTTGGGATTTTGTGCTGTCTGTCTCTATGCAAATAAGTGGTCTGGCTTCCACAGGATGGAGGCAGATAGCAATAACGAAGGAATGACTAGAGTTTAAAGATGGCATTCCATTCTGGATTTCTACCACTTTACAGTTGCCAAGGAGCAACTGTGTATATATATAGTTATATATATATAACTATACATATACAGGAGCATATTTGCTCCTCCCTAGGTTATTTGCTTGTTATTGCCTCCTAACTTTACTTCAGAGTGAGATACTTACTGCGGTTGTATAGCACTAGAGCTGGGTGTAGCTCTACTAATTAAATTGGGGAAGCAAGATCACTGACAGGCAGGACTTAGCACCTTGAGGTTGCTATTTCTTCTTTCCAGCATGGAGCTGGGCAAAATGTACTAAAGCTGTGACTTGGCTACTAGAGAGCATGTCTTAGCTCTGTTCTTTTCCAGGCTTTTTCCAGTAACATTCCAGATGGGGGTGGGTGATTAACTGATGATTCAACCCTAACTCTGTCTTTCCTTCCTCTCTGTTTCTGAAGGACTTGATAAATCTACGGAGAGGCTCATTACACTGAAGTCTAAAGACTATCTCCACCCAAAATTATACCATCAGGCAAGCTAGTCTAGTTTTAGAGTAGAATTCAGTTGGCTTCATTTTACCTGCTTAATGTGTGGTTTTCAATGGCCACATGCCTTTTTAGCACTGGTGCAAGTATCCTGCAAAATCCCTGTTGGCTGTAATGGTTTCCCCCATGCTCCTTTGTCAGAATGGGTACACAAGCCACTTTTCCAATGATAACATTTCCTAAATAACCATGGCTTGCTATATCAACTCTTCCTCTAACATCTATTTCTACTCAGAACCACTCAAAATTTTCACAGCAACACCTTTGTTCCCTTGCATCGAATGTTCCCTAGCTGTGGCCAGATAAGTTGCTTACAGAGGAAAACAGGTATAGCTGCCAGAGATCTTTCCCATACAACCACTTCTATCTCTGTTGATTTACTTGAGCAATGCTAAATGTAATTCACAAACCATCTGGTAAGCAGCCAGATCTAACTTTGCTTATATTAACAGCTAGTTCCCTAAAGGCCTCCCTCCTGGCTAAATGGAAATGGAGGCCTTCAGGGTAAAATTCTCTCTTAAAGACCCAGGAATTTGTGTTTTTCCTAGGTTAAGAATCATTTAAGCATTGACATCCATTACTCTGTTAGTGGCAAGCTGGATGAGTCAGTCTGTAGCTATTGACGTAGTAATGAATTGAGGGAAGAGGGGAAGGCAGGAGCCAGAGCAAAACCCTGAAAGTAACTTCCAAGTAATAGATAAAGCATTAGCTGTAACTAAGGCAAACGAGGAACAGGCTATTGAGAATTACAAGCTTCTAATACTAGAGGATATGCAATGCTTCAGCACTTGTATCTGGGTACATGGTATGTCTCAATGTGCTGGATAAAAGGGATGACCTGGTCTGTGGATGCTTGCCTGGGTATAGGGGAAATTACTAGTAGAAGGTAGCCCAGCTACTTAATCATCTAAATCTTTTGGCTTCATTTGTCACCATAAAATTCAAGGGACTAACTGAAGCCACTGCAATACCCCAGAGAGAAGATTCATAGAACAGTTTCTGTAGCAGATGTGAATGTCCAGTTCTTTCTGGCTGGGTATAGATGATCTTCAGAACTCCATAAAGGCAATATGAGTCCCTCTCTTTGGTAAGTGTGAATCAATGATTCAGCTATGTAGGAATAAAACATGGTGACTGCAGATTATTGGTTTTTTTATGTATCTTGTATCTCAGAGGCAAAATGGTCTCGTGGCATAGAGTTAAGAGTTAAGTCATACTAGTCCATAGTTTCTGTTAACTTGCAGGTTTTGTTTTAAAAAAAACTGCTACTTGATTACTGTTAAGACAAGGGTGTGGGGTTTGGGGTTTGTTTTGTTGTGGTTTCTTCCTGGAACAGTCTGTCTGCAGCCTAAATAATTTATTTGCTTTTACCTGTTGGGTGATATAACCTCAGACTTCCACTAGTTATAGAAACATGAATAAGCTCAGGTGGCTTCTTTTGGGTGTTCTGCTGTCATCTTCATGGGTGTTTGGAACAGATCCTGGCAAATGTTTCTTGCATTCTCTCCTATCCTACTACAGAGATGCAGCTGGCAGTGCTGAAGGAGAATAGAGCAAAATATCTGAGGTTCTATAAATAGCTTTAAAGGGTAAAAAGCTAAAGGTTGACAGATTAAAACAGGGTGATGCAAGTACAGCCTGTGGATGTAGGTCAATGTGATCTACTGATTAGGTATTACTGAGGTGAAGGTTCATCACCTGGTAGCCATAACTTCATGCTTTCTGTAGCCTGAGATGAAGAGACAGTGAGTTGGTCTTCCTATATGATCACTACCAAAACTTTCAGGCATTAGTGGGCTTCAGTGTTCAGCAGAACAAAACTGGACTAACAGGGCTAATGAGAATATTTCTTCTTCAAGGTAAACTATTATGTCTGTCTACTGATTGTTATTTGGATTTTTAAAAACTACAGCAAGCATAGCTGGCCACCATCTCGTCATGTCTACTGAAGCTGAAACTACTACTATCAACAGCCAGCCTGAGCAACAGGCTCCACCAAAAGCACAACCTTCAAAGAAGGAAAAAAAGAAAGGTAAGAAATGCTTACTTCTTGAACACCTCCTCTAGTCAGTATGCTTAATATTTTGCACTTGCCTAAAACTAATATCACTCTCACAGCATAGTCGAAATAACTCCAAGGTTTCAAGCTGACTGGAATAGTGAGTAAATAAGCTAGTAAAATAAATCTAACCAGAAGGTAGGCTTTTAGCTTGAAAGGTTTTTTCTAGCTTTAAGCTCTAAAGCTTTCAGTTCCACTTGTTAAACAATTCATTTGCTGAGACTTGGCAAGTCACCAAAAGCCCAGAGAAGTGAAAGCCTCCTGAGGAGGTGACCAGACCCAGGACCATCCAGGTACCTGTCAGTCTGAACCTGAACTCACTTCCTTTGCTCCCTCCCGAGAGGGAGTGATGTGCTGGACACAGATACAGATTCTAGTCCAGAGAAGCTAGAAAACTCCTTTAATGAGAATTATTGTAGATCAGATAATAGATTTTTTTTATAGATTAGGTCATGTAAATATAAAATTACCTCATACAGAAATACATACCTAGGTACACACTTGGAGTACGTTGAGCATGCAGAGAAGAAAACCAATCAGTTCTGAGAAGTAGCGGGAAGAGCAGAAATAGCAAACAGCTAAAATCCCAAGTGATTACAGGGGTGGGGGTACCAGGACTTGTTGTAGCAATGATGGTGCTGATAGAAAGTTCTAGCACAGGAACTAGGAGATTGTTGCACACCAAGAAGAGATCTGACTACACCAGAACTAGGGACTAACATCTGAAAGGTTTACTGAACGTCCTGTATGGCCATGGGAAGTACCATTTCTGCTTGGTGCTTTTGCTTAGCACTTACATCTACTTGGCTGTTGCCTATAAATATTTCAGTCTTTTACATGGCAAACAATTGTTCCAAAGTCCCTACATATTAAGCACTGGGCTTCAGTCTTTGAACTGAGGCCAGATTCTGCAAGAGCATTGTGACCTTAAAGGAGTACCTATCTTGCAGTGCACACGGTACTGGAAGGACTAGGGCTTGTTAGCTATACTCAAGGGACAGTTTTAATATGTACTTACATGGTATATTTTTCTTAAAAGATGTCAAAGCCACAACATAGATATTTCTCTCTTTAAAAAAAAAACAAAAAAACTTTTCTCTGTCTCCAGGGCCAGAAAAGACAGATGAATCTCTCTTGGCCAGATTCAAAGGTGATGGTGTAAGATACAAAGCTAAACTGATTGGCATTGATGATGTCCCAGAGGCAAGAGGAGACAAAATGAGTCAGGATTCGATGATGAAGCTGAAGGTAAGGGCTTGAGCTGGCATGTAAGGAACAAGTTCTGGGTAGCCTTCAGAAAGCAGATCAAATGGTCACTTTGGCCAAACTTCAAATATGGCTTAATGGTAACATAGTAGTAACAGCACCATCCTAGATGGATGTTACTTCTAAAGCTGTAACCCCTTGCTCAAAGGACAGTGTTTCTCTAATAGCTTGGGAACAGTCCTTTGGGCCTCTTGCAGACATCCAGTATGGATGCTAATAGTATGAACTTGGTCACAAATAATGAGTTTGGGTTTTGGGTGGGGAGAGGGGAACTCAGTGCAACTTAACACTGAACTCAAAGCACAAGTTGGCATCCTGTGGCAATAGTGACACCAAGAGATATAGATAAGCCAAAGAATAAGTAAGACCCTGCAGCAACAAAGATGATTACTTCTGGAGTGCAGAACACTCACATAGCTTCAATCAGGCCAGGAAAGCTGGTAAAGATCCTGCTACTGCAACAGTTTTGTGAACTAAGATAAGAAGCTTTAAAGCTCCAAAACATTTACAGAGGAATCACAATCTAGTTCTGAGGTATCACTTCAAACCTAGTAACGCATATGTTGCAAGAGGAATGCTGCTCTAACTGTACAGTTGCATAGGAATGACTAGATTAGCACCAGTACAGTCATGAGGAATGTAAAGAAACAGGTTAAAGCTCAATCTAACAGAAATCTTATCAATACTTTGACATTCATCCTCTTCAGGGAATGGCAGTGGCAGCCCGTTCCCAGGGTCAACACAAACAGAAAATCTGGGTGAACATCTCCCTCTCTGGTATCAAGATAATAGATGAGAAAACTGGGGTAAGATATGACTTATTCTCTTAATGTGATTCTTAAAGCAAGTGAAATGCTTGGAAGTTAGGCTAGTCTGAACTAGATTCCTTTAATGGCATTGTACCCTCCTTCCGCATATAAAAATTGGCTTGTGAAATGGGTTATAATGCTGAAGCCTCCTCCCAGAAAGCTAGCTACATCTTATTGTGGTTAGTCAAAGGCTGATAAATCTGAGTCTTGAACTGAAGCCTTCTAACAGTCTCAAACATTCTAACTACAGAGAAGAGCAGCTAGTATGTTTCCAGCAATTTAAACCAGTAGTCTTTTTTCCCCAATTCTAGGTCATAGAGCATGAGCATCCAGTAAACAAAATCTCCTTTATTGCTCGGGATGTAACAGACAATCGTGCCTTTGGCTATATTTGTGGAGGAGAAGGCCAGCACCAATTTTTTGCCATAAAAACAGCACAACAGGTATGGATCAGACACCCTTTTCCACTTGCTATGAGTAATGCTATTGTGTAAACACTTAACATGTGATAAGGGTGTAGTGTTTTGCTGGTAGCCCTATGAGGTATAGGGGAATACCAGCACAGATGGATAGGCTCCTCTAGAAGAGGGCAGTAGGAATTGACTGTATCACCAATGGCTTTTATCTTGTTCAGCTTCTCTGTAGTCCAGAATAAAAACACTCAAGTAGCCTTGCTTACTATGATTAACCTTGCTGAATATGTCCATGCACCATGGAAGTCATTAGTCAGATGAATGGAGCTGTTATCATGGGTTTTCCTGTACAGTGGCCTGATACTGTCAGTGAGAATGCCAATTCTTGAATCAAATAGCCAGACTGTCACTCAAATTAACAGGAATTATGTTAGAACTCCACTAGTCTAGTTCTCGTGATGCTTTGTCTTGTGCAGCAGTGAAAACAGACTTACTCAATTGCAATAGTGTTTCTGGGGCCAGTGAATGGCAGGTCCGGTCCTCCTAGAGGTACTTCTAGGAGGAATTCTGATCCTTCTGTGATAGGTTTTCCCCTTGCAGAAATCCTGTATGCAGGGTTTGTCTCTCTGAAGAGAATCTGTATATAAGCAGTATTGGAAACAAGCTACTTGGAGTTACTGCTGAGTATTATGCAGCTTCCTAAATGACCTGAACTTAAGTTAGCTATTTATCATTTATTAGCTTGTCATTATAATGTATTTATAATAGTCACTACAATGACTTGATGAGCCAAGATCTCAAAGCTAGTAACTTCTTCATACACATCCCTGCCTGCCCTTCTGGAGAACCTGTTGGCAGTTTCAAACCCACTACAGGTGGGACAGAGGGGCTCCTTGTTGGAGCATGTTACTACTCTAGTAACAGCTGTAATGGCTGCTCCTAAGCCTGTTTTATTAGTTTATCAGAGTCCTGTGTTGTGTTGGCTTCACTGGAATTGTAGATTAAGTACAAAAGCCCTCTGTGTGTGCTCTAGAGTGGAGTCTGTTCTCTCAGCTTTTCACTGTGAGGTGCTGCTTGCCAGCCTATAAGCTTAGCCAATGTGTAGACAGCTCTTGAATTGCTGCTAGTTGTTTTTAACACAAACTTGTCTAGCTGAGAAGTAAGGACTTCTGCAGCTCTAGACTGCTGCAGCTGTACTGTTTGTCAAAGTTGATAACTCTTGAAATGGCTGTTCCTGCGGTGGCATGACTAAAACCCTTGATGAGGAGGGGATGATGCTCAGATATAAACAGTGAGATCTGTTCAACACATTCTCTGCCTGAGCCAAAGGTAGTGGCTGAGCAGGGAGACTTGTCCTACTCTAGACACTGACACAGCTGCTATATGCCTCAAGCAAAAGTTCCAAATCGGTATAGCTGAACCTGCCACCACCTCGGCAAACACTCAAAACATTCTCATTAATGGGTGTGCAGGGAATGCAGTGCCTTTCTAATTCATGCTAAATTTTCATCCTGATACAGATACTACTTAAAGCTGGTGCCTGCTCTACACATTTGAGGTGATGATAATCTTACCTTATGCTTGCCTTGCTGATTTACTATTTGCATCCTGTTTAATATAAATGAAGCATTAGCTAGAGAAGCTTTCTCCAGATCCAGTGTTGGCGTTGGTAGAAAACAGACAGATGCAAAATGTTTTCTTGTCATGAGATTACCAGAGAGCTTGGATAAACTTTGCACTTTTGAGGAAATATGATTAGGACTTGCCATGCACTTAAAATCTTGCACTACAAGCTTTTTAGCAAAAACATAGTAGGCTTAGCACAAATACAGCCACTTTCCCTGTGGAGTTAACAACAGTTCTAAGCTGGTTGTACCCATTACCCTTGGATTCTGCATAAGCTCTCGTGTGGAGACTAGACAGTCCTTTAAACTCTTGCTTTTCCTGTTATCTCAACCTTACCGTTGAACCATTTAGGAAAGTTTGGCTTGCTACTCGCTGGACTTCTACTGAAGCAAGCTGTGAAGTAGTACATGGCTTAAAATCTACATTCTTTTTCAGGCTGAGCCTCTAGTTGTTGATCTTAAGGACCTCTTCCAGCTAATATATAATATGAAGAAGAAGGAAGAAGAAGACAAGAAAAAGGCGAGTAAAATTATAGAAACTGCATTAGTCTGCATAGAAATAAAGCTTGCTTCAGCTTTGGCTTAGCTTTTGGGCTCTTGTAAGACTTGACATTCACCATCTAAATCCAGGATCACTTGAAGCTATTGGTTGGTAATTGTGCCAGCAGTTTGATTGCCTCCTAGATCTGGTAAGCTCTCCAAAACGAGAGGCTTTGGATATTCTACATGACATCTAGGTACTAAAAGCCTTTTTTTCTTCTTTAGAGTGAAGAAGCAAGTAAAACTGAGGTAAGTCGCTCCAACTCAGCCTCACTCAATTAGGTATGCTGCTGCAACACAACTAGCTTTGACTTTCTTTACACTGCCAGCATTATGGAGGCAATGTCAAATGCCCAATTACACTGAAATGGGAGTAAAAGGGGCCTACAGAACTGATACTGAGTGGTGATCTCCGTCATACTTCCTCTTTCTCCCACTTGCTCTTTGAAGCCTGCAAATCCCTTGCTTAAGGCAAGTTTTGATATTCCAATTATTACTGACACTGTTATCCATCTATTACAGAATGGTAGCGAAGCACTACCCGCTGATCAAGCTGACAAAATGAAACTGGTACGTTAAGTTTTAGAACTTCATGCTGATGCCATTACAGAGTTCATAACTGACTGTCTCCACATTGTGGGAAATGCAGTATTTGTAGATGTGTTTACAGTAGATCTGCATAATGCTTGATTCTTGCTTTTGCAAGAAGTCTAACAGATACCAATTCTTTCAATATTTCTGGCTTCAAGGGAGTTGACCAGATGGACTTGTTTGGGGATATGTCAACACCTCCTGATATGTGCAGTCCCACAGTAAGTAGAATCTAGCTTAGCAGTCTTTGTTCTTGCTTTGAGAGGAAATTTAGTCCTAGTAGTAAGATCTGCTTTTACTTTGTTAGTCCTGGTTTCTCAGAGACATCTGCCTAGCTATCATCAGTGTACTAGTGTCTCAGGACTATAATACTGTCTACTTGCTAATAGAGTAGTTAATGTCATTCTAATCCAGCAGAGTTCACTTGAGACTGCGTGACAGAGATAATACTATTCTGCTAGTCATAGAATCACAGAATGGGTTTGGATTGGAAGGGACCTTAAAGATTATGTAGTTCCAACCCCCTACCGTGGGCAGGGACACATTCCACTAGACCAGGTTGCACAAAGCCCCATCCAACCTGGCCTTGAACACTTCCAGGGATGGGGCATCTGCAACTTCTCTGGGCAACCTCTTCCGGTGTCTCACCACCCTCACAGTAAAGAATTTCTTCCTAATAGCTAATCTAAATCTACTGTCTTTCAGTTTAAAACCATTACCACTTGTCCTATCACTACACTCCCTGGTAGAGTTCCTCCCCATCTTTCCTGTAGGCCCCCTTAAGTACTGGAAGGCTGCTGTATGGTCTCCCTGGAGCCTTCTCTTCTCCAGCCTAAACAACCCCAACCCTCTCAGCCTGTCCTCACTGGGGAGGTGCTCCAGCCCCCTAATCATCTTTGTGGCCCTCCTCTGGACCTGCTTAAGCAGGTCCATGCCTTTTGTATGCTGGGGGCCCCAGAGTTGAACACAGTACTCTAGGTAGGGTCTCACGAGAGCAGAGTAGAGGGGGACAATCACCTCCCTTGACCTGCTGGCCATGCTTCTTTTGATGCAGCCCAAGATGTGATTGGCTTTCTGGGCTGTGAGCACACATTGCCAGCTCATATTTAGTTTTCAATCCACCAATACCCCCAGGTGCTTATCCACAGGGCTGCCCTCAATCTACCCATTGCCCAGCCTGTATCCATGTTTGGGATTGCCCTGACCCAGGTGCAGGACCTCACACTTAGCCTTGTTGAACTTCATGAGGTTTGCACAGGCCCACCTCTCTAGTGAGATGTCCTAGAAATATGTACTAGCAGTACATACCTTTGCTGCTATGAGAGCTATTACAGAAACATTGATAAAGATCTTTAAAGATGAAGCTTATTTTATAGACAAGTGAATCCTTAAGTAAGTCCCTCAGAGTGGACTCCCGGACTTTCTAGATGAGTAGCCCTAGCTCAAGATGTGGCCTAACTCCACCAAAGTGCACATAGCTCAGTCATAGCTCAGTATGACCCCCAAAAATCCTACCAATTTATTCTGGCACTGTAAGCCACCATCAGTCATGATACAATTGGTGCTGTCAATCCAGCTAGTGATCAAGTATTACCCTTCTACTGCCTGTTTGGTGGAGAGATGGCATGTTAACATCTTCCACTGGCAAAAAAATCAGATGGCATGTTAACATCTTCCACTCTCTAATCTTACTCCGAAGCTGAGACTGCAACTTAAAGTCACACTAAGGCAGTGTGATTTCATAACTTGTCAAAACAAAGGACTAGAACTCAAACAGGAATTCCTGACTCAAGTGAAAGTCTAGGTGTAATTAGTGCTTAATGACTCTACAGTCTCTAGGCTGTAGAACAAGCATCTGATATTTAATTAAGGGATCTTAAAACAGGTGCTTTTAACATTGAGTTTCTGAAACTAAGCAGCTGTGATTTGACCACAGCCAGCAGTGCTTGCCTTAATGACTTAAGATGAAGCTTTAGTGAAGGTTCACTGTGATATTGAATACTTATTAGTATGATGTATTGGATAATAGGATTTCTCCTTTTGCAGCCATTTTTCTTGAGGTTGTGTACTATGCAGCAAGTCCTACATAAAACTAACTATTTTTTCTTTCTGGACAAATAGGAAGCTAAAGAGATTCTGTTAGTGGATCTAAATTCTGAAATTGAGACCAAACAGACTTTTACAAAAGAGGATCTCTTCTTGAATGGCATCACAACCTCTCTTCCACAACCAAAGCCACAGCCAACCTTCTTGCCTGAGAGTTCTTTCTCTACCAATCTCAGCTTCTTTCCCACACCTAATCCAGACCCTTTCAGTGATGATCCTTTTGCACAGCCAGACCAATCTGCACTGCCTTCATTTGATTCTCTAAAATCTGCTGATCAGAAGAAGGAAAGTCTGAGTACCTTGACACCGGTGGGTAATGGTGCTTCAAATGGTGATATTGACTACTTTGGTAAGCAGTTTGACCAGATTTCTAATAGAACTGGCAAACGAGAAGCACTAACAAGCCAGTGGCCACCTGAGAGTAAGCCGCCTGCAGCAAGAACTCCAAATGGGGTACCAGAGAGAGAACAGAATGGCTTTCTTAAAGCCCCATCAACCCTGTTTGTGGAAGGTCCTTCCAAAGGATTACCTCTGCAGAATGGAGTAAGGCTGGATTCTGAAAGCAATATCCAGCTCATGTCACATGAGTCTATAACAATTAGCCCACCACCACAAAGTACCAAGCCAGGAAGAGGAAGGAGATCTGTCAAGGTGAACAATGTTCAAGTAATTAATGGTGATATGCATGCTCTTTCTTAAAGAAGCTGGGTGAAGCTTTTCTTTCTTCATACTGTGAAACTGGCTAAACAGCTTTACCACATGTCTACTTCTCTGCTACCTGTCATACTTAACTCTAATCTCACTGCAGCTGTGGTACATTCTAACATTCATGAATGCTTCATAGTAGCTATGGTCACTAAACTGTATGCTCTCTTCCTTAATGCTGCCATACTTCTGTAAAGGTCTGGTAAGTATGTTGCTATGTATATTGACACTTGATACAATGCCAGAACCTGTTATGATAGTCGTATGCCCATCAGCCTGTGGTTTCATAATGATGAGCTACTAGTACTAGGTTACAGAAACCTATGTAGTTTCCCAGTACCTGCCTACTGAGGGCAATCTCAACAACTTGCCTGATTAGACGCAGGATGGCTCTGGGTCAGCTGCATTTGTCTTGCACTCAAATGATGCAAAACTCTGACCTTGCCACAAGTCTGCAGGGGTCACTGCAGACTGAGCAGGAATTTTTAGAGGGGTAGGGGGCAGAGGGAGGCTCACTATGATAGCAAATAACTTAGTCATTTTAAGTCTTATTCTTCTGCTATTGACTTGTGACTACTATATATTATTCATACTTAATGCCATGCATCTCAGTAGGCATGAACAAAATGGTGACGTTTGAAACTCCTATACATGGTCTCTAAAGGAGACATCAAAGCTCCCTGCTCTGCTCTAGCTGAAATAAAAGCTTGTAGCTCTGGACTAGGGAGTCTTAATCATGCTAGCATGTGTTCTGCCATGCCATCTCACAAAGCTTTTTTTCTTTCTAGACTGCATCGAATGACTTATTTAGCTCAGACTTCTTTGTGCCGATTACAGAGAGCCTTAGCTTGACCTCAGTGGCACAAACAGGACCTGTGCCAACTAGTCCACTGGACCTCTTCAAAACAAGTCCTACCACAGCACCTCCATTGGCTGGTCTAGGTTAGTTCACAAAGTGAAGGTCTTGCTCCAGTCTAAGATATCTGCTAACACCAAAACAGGGGCTCTAGTTTTCCTTTATTTCATGTGTAGTGCCACACCCTTTAATCCATGTGCTGTCTGCCCTAAACTATTGAGTTCTGTGAATACAGGCCTAAACTCTGCATCCTTAACTGGAACAGGGTTTTTGTGTAAACTTTGACAGCAGATTGCTGCCTCAGGTACACAAGGTTCAAGTGAGCCAAGCACAACTTGGGAGGTTAGGGTAACACTGCTGCAGAGTCTTAATAATCATTTACACAGAAGTAACTATAAGGCAAATGCATCTGTCACTTCTGTGCTAGGACTATGTTCCTCCTTCTGTTATATCAACCTCAATTCCGTTCTTCCAGGACTGAAATGGAGCAAAGTAAAAAATGTTAAACCCCTGCTCCCCTCCCCCCAAACGACTTGATTTTTAAGTGTAAATCAACAGATTTTTGCAAACAGCACATGAAAAATGTTTTGCTGGTAACCTCAGTGGAATTGATATGCTCCTGCTTGAGGTCTTCAGATCACTGAAGTGCTGTGTAACAACAATCTCCCCCCAGGTGGCTTGCCAGTAACTTCATCACCATGGAGTGCACAGACACCTGCCTTCACTCAGGCTGCATCAGTCTTTTCTGGGTCTATGATGCCTGCTCAACCTACGGGATTTACTCAACCACTTGCCTTTGGTACTCAAGCACTGCCAAGCTGGAACCAGCCTGCATCTTTTGGTCCAGCAGGCCCTCAGTCTGGTCTCTGGGCACAGGCAGCACAAGTTCCATCTTCTTCATGGGCACAGCCATCCAGTGCTGTAAATCCCTTCCAGAGTAGTGTGTTCCCATCTTCAACACTACCTGCTCAGACGCCATCTGTACTGCCCTCCATGTCAACAACAACTAGCCCACCTCAGCCACCACCTAGAACTGCACCTCAGAAAGAGCTATCCAAGAAAGAGAGTGATGCTTTTATTGCTCTGGATCCACTTGGTGATAAAGAGATGAAGGATGTCAAGGAAATGTTCAAAGACTTCCAGCTGACAAAGCCACCTGCAGTACCAGCAAGGAGAGGAGAGCAGCAAAGCCTTTCAGGTGCTTCTGAAGCTTTCAGCAATTATTTTAGTAGTAAAGTAGGCATTCCTCAAGATAGTACAGATCATGATGACATGGAAGCTAGCAAGCTGTCTGCCAAAATGACTGGTAAAATCTTTTTTTTTCCCTTCTGCTGGGATAGCTGGTCAGGGATTGGGATGGCTGATCACTAGTCTTTTCTGATAGAACTCAAAATTTGATTTAATGGTTACTGAAACAGAGGGTTGAAGGACTGTCTCCCCTAATAATGTTACAGAACTGATCAATGTCAGTGGCCAAACACTGACACCTAGTGCCTAAACTACTTTGACTAGAATGAGGTAAACTAGCTCTGTACAGTGTTAGAAGTCCCATCTAGCTTAAGTGTAGTGAGGGACAAGCAGGAGATAAAATTGTGTCACTTAAAGCAACTTCCGTGTGGGTGTTTTCTGTATCTAATTAGATGAGCTTTGGTGCTGCTATACAGACAGAGCTGAGCACTTGTTAAAGCTGTTAAGTGATTATAGTAGTATGTCTCTTTTCCTTAGAACCACCAAAGCCTGCTCCCCGACAAAGTGTGCTGCTAGCTGATGGCCTGTTTGAAAATCAAGCTAAAACAGACCTTTTCAGTGCCTCATCTGTAAGTAGTTTAAAAAAAAAAAAACAAACCACAAAACACCCAACCTTTCTTTCTCCTTAACAACAGGGGTGCCTGTGTTTGAGCACTGGCTTAGTTCTGGCTTTAGAGGCTGTGGAACAAAACTTCTTGCATGTCTGAGTCTAATATTTAATCTAACAGAGGGCATTTGTTGCAAGAAGGCTAACAAAGTATGATTCCATTTGGCTTGGGTCCATAACTAGGTCCCCAAGCTGCAAGCCCCAGGAGGAAGTTTTTCAGTAGTGGGAGCTTCTACAAAAGACTGTAAAATAATGTAGCTGCAGAAGTCTTCCACTTTAGTTATACTTATCTCTCTGTGGAGTAGACTGCTTAGTGTGGACTGTGCTGTTCTCAAAAAAAAAACAAATGGGAGGCTCCCTTGTTCAGTACCCCCTGGGGGAGGAAGTGGCTTAACCACATCACTGCATTTGGGACACAGCACTTGAAGCCCTTGGTGGAAACTCTGGATCAATTCCAGAATGTTGACTGAAGACATCTAGCATTTGGCTAAAACAGACCTCATCGTGACTACAGTGGCTGAGCTCCAAACGAGTGTTCAGTAAGCACACATGGCTTTTCTGAAAGATACCTTGCCTCAGACTAGGATAACTGCTAACACGGCTTTAGAGCCCTTTTCTCTTGTTAAAGCAGTACAGTTAATGTGTATTTAGCAGGGTCTCTGCAGTATTCTTTCCAGAAGGTGTTTGGAACAGGAGCTGGCTGAAACAGCGATGCAGAGTAAACCTGGTGAAACCTGGAAATCCACTAACAGCCTATTGATCTCTTTCCTTAGAAGGAGTCTCAGAAACCACCTTCTGGTCCTTTTGGTGATCCTTTTGGCAACCCATTTGCATAGATCAGGTAAGTCTTCCACTAATAAGACAACCTACTTCATTCTCTGAAACTTATTCAGAAAACCTTTGGTAAAGAGCTGGCTAAAAACTACACTAGCTTAACTCTAATGCTCTTCTAAAGTATGGCAAACCGTCTCTAGAAGAACACTTCTGCTAGAGTACCTCTACTCAGACTTGTACATAGCTGCATTCTGGCTAAGCCTAGCCAGCTTCACTTTCTTAGAAATACAGATTTTATTCTTCCATGGACTTAAGTCTAAAGGCCACAATAGATGTAGACTTCCTTTCCTTGAGGAAAGTTAATGAGTAAATATGTGCTGCAAAACTCAGAGGGGCTGACTGAATTCCTTCCGATATCTCTTTAGGAGAGTGTTAGAGCACAGTGCCCCATACAGCTTTCTGAAGCTTAATCCCCTAAATAATTGCGGGTTTGTACTCTGGGTGAATTGGAGTAAAAACAGCTCTTATGAGAGCTTTTGTCACTAGAAACTAATAACTCAAACTTTCGTATCATTGACTAGAGAACATGAACTGTCAAACTAGCAAATCTATTCCTCTGCCACACCTCTAAGTCTTCTGCTGACATACTGTCTTGCTTCTAACAGAAGACAAGTGTTGCTATTTATTGCCTTAGTTTTGTTTTCTGTGGCTCTAAGCTAGTTTAAGCAATAAAACTATAACTTACAGCCATCCTAACCCTAAGTCCTTTTCATCATACTAGGCATAACCAGAAAAGGACAAATGGAATAGCTGGACCTCTTCTCAACATGATTTTTCTACTTGTTTCACTTTGCTGTCTGCCACTTTTGCTGCCGTTCCATGATGTCTGTAATCTAAAACATGTCCAGGTGGATTGAAACACAAACCCTCAAAGAACATGCTGTGAAGATGCTAATTCAGGGCAAAGCAAATGGAGAGTTGGACTTGTGCTGGAGACCCAAATTCAAATTGGTGGATGTTAACTTTACTTTAGTTCTTTGCAGTATTCCACAGAAGAGCTTAGCAACACTAAGTCATGTGTCTTGTAAACATGGTCACCACAATTCCTCTTTCTGTAGCACTTACTGTCCTAAAATATAGGAACTGAATGTACCTGGGGAAGAAGTGTTGCCTTCACATAAGGGAATTGAATTAGTAGCTAGAACTCCACACCTTAAACAACTAGGTCAGTTGCCTGTTATCACAACAGCGGCCAGTTGTAAAGTTAAGTGGACACTACTCAGTTCTAATTGGTGACTGGACATGTGACTTGTTCTCTGAGCCACAAAGATGTAAACTGTATGGTAGGGGAGAAAAATTCCAATGGTTGTCTATTTAACTAATGGTAAAAGTATCATTCTGCCATAAATGTGTAATAAAGGGACTAACTGTGGGGTCTGTAACAGAACTGCCGGGGTCCTAGACTAGAGGTCTACACTGTAGGGTCAGATAAGCTGAAACACTTCTTGCAGAACACTGAGGTAGTCGTGGACACTAACCGTTGTCTTGGTGCTAATATGGCTTTTTTCAGGGAGGGAAATCTACTAGGATTACTTTTTTATTAAGGTGGCTTGGCAGACAAATGGAACAAGCAGATAGGCTTCTTGCGTATATCTCAGTGAATGTCCCTGATATTGCTCAGTTTGAGTTGTCACATGGTGTAGTGTGGCATGTTTCCAGAATGTTAGAAAGCAAAAAGACAATCATGGCTTCACTCCATGCCTAGAGTCCTTGTGAACAGATGCACCACCTCTGTGCCATTAATGTGAGGTAGTTCTCCATCTCTTGAAAACTGTGCCTTTTCTAAAGAACCTCTCTACTAACAGATCTCTAAATCTGTTATAACTGACTGTAACAGCTACATTCTTGGCCAGTGGTGATGGCTGATGTGTCAGAGGTTTTTCTGTCAATGCTAAGTATAAACTTGAAATAGTACTGTTAAATCAAATGCCTAAGCAGTTGCTGAACTGGAGAGCTAAGAAAGTCAACTTGAATACAGCCTTAGTACCCAATTCAGCCAGTCATGCAATTAGTCTTGTATATAAACCTCTCTTGCACTTTCTGTAATGCGAAAAAGCTATGAATTTAAGTATTTGTCTCAAACTGGAAATGTAGAAACTTACAGATGTTACACTGTTATATAAAACTGTAGTATCTCAAGTAATGTTACCTGATGACATTAAAAACAAGCAACTGTTCATACCAAACAAACATCAGTGTGGCTGTTGATTCTGTCCTCCATAACTCAATCTTGTGGTCTAGTTGACACTAGGAATTCAGAGCCTGCTAAGAATTGTTTCTCATAGGTTCTTACCATAGTTGTCTGACAGCAAGGTCTCAAGTCTTTCTGTAGCTTCTTGCATCAGGCCTGTTCAACAAATGCTGTCCCACAGTAAAAAATAAAATCCCCAGCTGACTTAGTAAACTGTCAATAGAACTTGTCCCATTAGCTGCTCAGCCTGAGTTTGCTACTACTAAAGATGCTTTCTTGCTCCCTTCTGCAGGACCGTGGAAGCTGGGTACTTAAATTGCATTGCATTCAGAAGTTTCATTAATTCAACTTGACTATTGCAGCTTTGCAGGAGGCCTAAACTGATGCTGGGGAAACTAAATTAGAACATCTAGCTCATGTTCAGAACAAATTTTACAACTCCTTTCATGCAGATGGCTAAGAAGAATAAATCCATTAGAAAGTTACTGGTTTAGACTAGCCTTTAGTACTGGAGACAGACCTATAACTGTCAGCCTGATATATCACTGAATAAATAGAGTGGGTGCTTGCTTGCTTACTTTTAATACCATTTGATCAGTATGGTTAAGGGATTGAAAACAATGCATTGAAACAGCTTGAAATATAGGTCTGATGGTGCTTCACAGAGAATCACTGGAAGTTTCTTTGACTTTTTTTTTTGGCTGCATGGCAACATGTAGTTTAGTACTCAAAGATACCATTAGAACTAAAAAAACAATTGACTGTCTTGGTGCTTGAGTGAAGGAATATGTTTACCAGCATTTGAGTTAAGCATCTAAATGACCATTTGCTGGTCAAGCTAAAATTAACAGTCCTGCTATGCTGGAGTTTTGAAATGGCTGTCAGGATGATCATGAAGAGCTGGCTAGCAGGACCTCTTACAAGCTGGCCAAAGATGCTTGCTGGTCTGCTAGCTTAGTTTAAATAGCTGTTTACTGATTTAGTCTCTGTCTTAAAGAACCATGAACCATAGTGGTATATATAGCATCAATTGAAGCGGGTATGATGAAGCAGTACAATATTACAAGTGTCTGTCTTGCTTTCTTGCTCAACAAACTGTGCAACTGGACACATCAAGCTGGACTGAGGCTGCATCGGACTTAAGTTCCTCTAAATGAAATTATCCCAAATTAAGGATTGAATAGGGAAAAAAATTGCCTGCCCTCTTCCACACCCTCCCCTCTCCCTGCCACAAAAAGGGAAGAACAGAAAAAATTAAAGTAAATATTTGGAATATCCTTACACTGGATGATTATTTTAAGCTTGCATCCAGATACTTAATTCTTCACTGCTAAACAGCAGGTTATTTATGAGTTACTTCTGTCTTGTGACTGTGTCCAACACATGATGCCTTAAATCTGGATTACAGCAGACTACTGAATAGGAATGCCCTTCTAAAGAGCTAGCTTGTGGTTTGCATTTTGGTGACACACTGAAAGCTAGAAGAGTTTTAGGCTCCTTCAAAACCACAAAAAATTATGTGTTTGTTCTTTTATATTGGCTGGGGGAGGAAGAAAAAGGAATCTTGGGACTTTATTCCTCCAATACTCCAAATGAGGATTCCAAAGATGTTAGACACTGAACTTGCTCTTGTAAACAGCTCTGCTTTAGAAACTATTTGTTCCTTACATGAGTCACTGCTAAGACAGCTTTTTACTAGGCAGTTAAGTCTTCTCTAATTAAATAGAAAATGACTTTCCCATATTTAAAAGGTACCATAAACAAAAATTGTTTGTTTTTAATCTTGAAACTACTTTACACTATTTCCCAGTTTCCACGTGGGAAAGTGGAATTTTCTGAAAAGTGGACTTTAGAGCACTTACCGTAAGTCAGTTTTGGCCAGTAACTGGCATTCTTCAGTAAGCACTGCTTTTTGTTTGTTCTCTTGGTAATAAATAACAAAAGGAACGAATAAAGAAGTTACAAATTCAGTCATGGCAATTCTTGTCTATACAGCTACAAAATGAGAAGCATGCATGTTATTCTACAGTTTATATCCATATTATGCAATTTAGAGGTGGCTGCCTCACTTTTGGAGGAAAGCGGAAGGTAAGTGTCCTTGGTCTTCTGCAGATGTCTATACTGTTTTCTTTCTCCTATACAGAGCATAAACCTCCAATGCAGACGTTTCTAATGGTAGCTTGCACAGATATCCAAAGAAAAAGGAAACTACTTCTTGCTGTATTTCAAGGAGTCACATAGAAATGGTTTATCCTTTTATTTTGGATGTATGTGGCACAATAAAGGTGACTGATAGCCGTTGAAGCCATCTTCTTGCAGGGAGGTGGAGCTCAGGCAACTGTTTTCTATTGCACACTGAGTGTGAAAATATAATCTAATCTCAATCTGTTTCTTTCTGAAGAAGCACAACTTTATGCTGACAGTACTTCTAGTCCTATTTAAAGTCTCCTGGACTACCTATTTCTAATTCTTTGGAAATAGAGCCTTTGCTTTTTCACTGTAAGTATCACTAGAAGGAGAGCTAAAGGCTTAGTCCCTACAAAAATATCATGTGAAAACAACCGAAGAGTTATGCTACCAGAAATAGAGCTGCCTAGTCTGTATGTTGTTTATAAGAATGATCAGTACTAAGTGGTGAAAGAATGTGAGTCTCATAATAGATATATGTACATTAAGAATAAACTGGGATCCATCTGCTTTAAGACTTAAACTGTAGTATGTGAAGCATTTTGTGATGACATGAATACTATCAGCACAACCAAGTATTGCCTCTTGCATGTTGTGTCTAGGCCTGAGGGTGGCTGCTGTTATTATCGCTTGAAATACCTGAATAGACTTTGAAGACCAGCCTCTGAAACTATAAGGATTGCTGCTTCCCTCTCCCCTTATGTTTTGATGGTTATTATTTTGGTATTCAGATCCAATTACAGCACAGGCTTGATATATTCAGTTAGAAACAGCCCAGCCAGAAGATACGATTATTACAGAGAGTTCATAGCAGGCAATGTGGGCCAGCAGCTTGACTTCACATCATACAAAAGACTATGCAGCTTCATGATTGTGCTCGCAACTACAGTTGGCAAAATTATGCCCTCATGTGATGCTATCATGTCTCCAAATTGAAAAGAGCCATGCCTTCTCTCTTGGTCAGTGCTAATTGTCAAACCATGACTTTTTCTTGAGGCATCAGTTTTGTAACTGATGGACTGAACAGCTCTGTATTTTGAAGTGTGGATAAACAACAAATCACCAAAGCTGCGTAGCCTGAGGGTGTACAGAGTGTATTGTGCAATCCAAGATAAGGTGTGAGCAATTTTGTGTACTGATTGTGAAATGGCTTTTCCTTTCCAAAGAGCACTCTTATGTCCCTCAAACCTCCCCAATAATGGATAGCAGAGAAGGTATTTCAATTTCCACACTTGTCTCTGAAGTTCTTGTTCCTAACTGCCAC